TAGCTGTTTCCTGAATAGATCCTGCATTCACTTCCCAATGCTTCCTTGATCCAGAAAACCCTATATGGTATTAGAAACATGGATGTAGAACCAGAATCAATCCACCAATCATTATGTGAAACACAAATCATATTAGATTCATAACACACAGAGATAAGAGGTTACGTTTCTTGTCAGCTAGGCCTCCTCTTAGGACAATCCTTCTCATGTGTCCGTCTTTTTACAGAAAAACACTTGTATATGTCCTTATTACCTTTGCATAACCTCATGCACTTGCCTTTTCCCTTCCACTTCTTATTCTTGTTTGAAGTGTACTTGACATTTCCTGTCACCAAATGTGCAGTTTCATTCACTTCCTGAAGCAGTCTCTCCTCCTCCTGAACACACATGGTCAAAAGCTCATTGATGACCATTTATCTTTCTGTGTGTTATAAGATATCTTGAAAGGAGTATAATGAAACGAGAGAGGTTCAGGATATAATGCACCAAGAAATCATCATTAATCACCATCTGAAGGGATCTCAACTGAGCAGCGATGTCCCGCATTTTCATAATATGCTCACGGACTCCTTTAATGCTAGTGAACTTCATGGATGTCAATCTATTCATTATGATGCTTCCTAATGCCTCGTCTGATGTTTCAAACTGTGCATGAATTGCCTCATCAGATCCTTGACATTTTCACACTCCAGTATCTACCCACGGATACTAGTCGTAATGTGAGAGATTTGATAAACATCATGCTTAAACGGTTAGATCGCTCCCACGTTCATACAAAGCAATCTCAGTTTGAAACTAGTATTTGTAGGTGTAAGGTGGTCTTCCTTATGAAAAGCATAGTCAAGATCAATGCACCCTAAATGAAGAAGGACAACCTCTCTCCAGGATTTGTAGTTATCACCATTTAAACTAGGAACCTTATCCTTAACCATCATCAAAGTTTGATCAACTGTAGGTATATGAATGGACATGCTTACTAAATAAATTATGAGGCACAAACCATCAATAACAATTATAAGTTTACCAATGTAAAACAAATAATAAATCATAAATGAATCGACATATCATAAAATCTCCCTGTGGGTAAAAACATTACATATTATGATTCATTATCCATTAATGATGAAAGTAGAAATTATTAATATTTCATAATACCTGTGGGAATTAAGAAATAAGAATAATTTCTATTTCATCTCTAATTAATCATGAAAATATAACATTCCCGATGAGTAAAATGATTATATTGATATGATTACCTACAAAATGATGTTATTAACCTTAATATGATCATAAATAATATTACTTAATGCATATATTATCATAATTTAGATGCTGCGGCTACTCTAAATTAATCAAATATATACGATCATAAAACATCAAATAATTTATAACATGAATTATATAATATAACACAAATCAATACAAGAATAACACATTATTTATGCATAACAAAGTAATATATAACATAAAAAACCATCATACAAGCTATCACCGACTTCCACGCGCCACTGTGACTAACAGACGTGCCCCCACATGCCACCAGAAGTAAACACACACTCCCACGCGCCATCACGACAGCACCATGTGTCGTCACGCGCTTACACGCGCCTGACGCAAGCACAAGCTCCTCACGCTCCAACACGCCCCGGGTCTGAACCAGGGTCGGATTAACCCATTTTGACCGGGTTGGGTTGACCCGGTTTGGTCCACCAAGATGTCCTAAACCGCTTGACCGGTCTGGCTCGTTGACCGGTTCATTGAATGGTCTGGACTGTTGACCGCGTTGATCGCGTTGACCAGGTCTTGTCGGGTTTTGAGCTGTGTTGACCGGGTCGTTTGACTCGTTTTGGCTATTGACTTTGACCGGGTCAGATTGACCCGTTTATCCTATTGGGTCGGTTCTTCTTGACCCGTTTTTGCAACTTTTTACCCAGTTTTTTTTTTTTTTTTTCAGATTTTCAACCGTCCGTTTCCGACCATTTTTCCGGCGTTTTCGATGGGAAACTTGAATGTGGACATATAACCGATCTCGATGACATCCCAAATGACAATTTCATCCTAAATCGGTGCCATAAATGGCTTCCGAAAACACCCAAATAATAATTTCTAACCAAAACTTTAAACTAGCATAACTTTGCATCCAGAACTCTATTTTTGACAAATAATATACCGTTGGAAAGAATTTTCAACAAGGATTCCAATGACATCAAAATCGAAAACAAATTCTATTTATAATAAAAGTTATGCTTGATTTACAGTACAGATTTTAATGGAAAAAATCCCAATTATATGTAATATTTTTCAGATTTGCAACAAACAACTTCATGCTAGGCAGAGAATCAAATAATGCTCTGACACCAAATGTTAAAATACATTCATATTCCAATATTCATATAAAAGTGATAATACAATCAATTTCAATATAAAATCTCCATGGAATATATGCAGAAATAAATGACAAACCTCCAACCATAGCAATTATTGTTTGATCTTCTTGCTCCTTTATAAATTACAATATCTTCCACTGACTGCAATTTTTGGAGTGATGGTTTTGAAACTAAAATAAAAACTACGTCACATGGGGACCTGTAAAGTCTCCTTTATATGCAGTTGTCTTTCCATCAAAGACAACTACTCAAGGGAAGAGACACAACTGTACCACATCAGTCCACATCAGCCACATCAACATAAAGGTGTAGGACCATAATGCAATTATATTAAAAGTGTAGGACCATAAGGTAAAAAGTCTAACAGTCTTGTCTTCTTCATGAAAGGTTGAAATTAATGCATGGATTTCACCTGTCTATAAATATAAATTTGACATCAAGTATTAATATGAGAATAATACACCTGTTTGCTAGTAATCTAGAGCTTTAATAATATAGTTCATGGCAAAACTGAAACATTTCTTCCTCTTCTTCTTCTTCTTTGTATTGCTAATCTCTTCATGCGAAGGAGCCTTGGCTTCGAAGGTCGACATAGTGCGAGTGGGAGTAATTCTAGATTTGAATTCTAGTGTGGGAAGAATAGCACAGAGGTATATATCCATGCATGGCACTTTCCCATTTCTATGCTGTGAACAATCATTTTCAAACAAACATCACTCTTGTCACTAGGGATTCCCAAAATGATGTTGTTGTGGCAGCTTTAGCAGGTAAAGCCTTTGTTCATTCTTAAACTGAATTATGAATCATCAGTTTAAGTTAACTTATTAATTATCTCAGAAAATAATATATTAAGTGTTGGTAAAAGATATTTGTATAAATTATAAGCCTAAAATCTAGTTGAGTAGATGAAGTGTGAGAGGTTAGCAATTATTGAAGAAAATAGACTAGTTTATGTTGTGTGGCATATCGTAACATATGTGTGGGTCAGTTTAGAGCCATGTTTACCAACAAAAAAAAAAAAAAAAAAAAAAAACCAATTACAAGTAATGTAAGCTTCAAGAGAGGACAAGGGACAATTTATTGAGCAAGTATACGTATATATCAATCTTAGCTGCGGTTTCTTTCCTGCTGTAATAACGGTTAATTATCATGACTAACACTAAAAACATAAAAAATATCATTTTTTTTTGTATTGGAACTGTAAAAATTATTTTTTTAGTATTATTATATATAGTCCAGATTGTAAATTTTTTCAATATAATGGGTATTATGATTAAATTTTCTTTTACTCCTTATAAAACATTTATTTTTATTCATTATTTAATAATGTTGAGAGATATTGAGTTGACATTAACTATTTTTAACGTATAGTATTATTATGGATTAAGTTCTTTGGAGACCCTTTTAGTGGTTTCTCAAAATTTAAATTATTATTGACTTTTTGCAGCTTTAGATTTGAGAAGAATGAAAGGTGCATAAATCATAGGACCTCAAAAATCAGAAGAAGCTCAGTTCGTAACGATTCGGAAGAAAAACTAATGTCCCAGTCGTCTCATTTTTGCCACAACCCTTCTTCTCCACCAACGAATTTCATTCGCACTGCCCATGACGATTCCTTCAAGTAAAAGCCATAGCCGACATGTAAAATCATTTATTTTTTGGGGGTTTTTTTGGGGGGGGAAATGGAACTCATACTCATCTATGAAGATACAAATTATGGCAATGGCTTGATCCCGTACTTAACCGATGCCTTGCGAGAAGTTAACGCTCGAGTACTTCATCGATGTGTCATTTCATCGGGTTCCGGTGACAGTGAAATTCGGATGAAGCTCAAGAGTTTGAAAGAAAATTATGCGCAGACGAGAATTTTCTTAGTTCATATGACTGCTTCCGTCGGTTCCAAGCTCTTTTTACAGGCAAAGAAATCAGGAATGATGGACGAAGGCTATGCATGGATCGTCACTGAGGGGTTATCGTCTTTGTTAGATCCTGTTCATTCCAAAGCAATCAATTCAATGCAAGGCGTATTGGGTTTAAGGCCGTTTATAACCTTTTCTTCAAGGAAGCTCCAAGTTTCCAAATTGAAATCTTCAATTAAGGGAAAAAACCTGTTCGGATTGTGGGCATACTACACTGTTTGGGCGGTGGCTACGGCGGTTGAAAAGGCTGGCATGGCACATTCTGGCTTTACGACGTCGAATACTGGTGAGAATGAAGTTGATATTGCAGCGTTGGGAACATTTGAAGATGGTCGAAAGCTGCTTAACGCTTTGCTAAATACAACATTCGACGGCGTAAGTGGAGAATTTCAGTTGGTCAAAGGGCAACTGCAACCTTCAACATTTGAAATATTCAATGTCGTTGGCAAGCATGAGAGAATTATCGGATATTGGACTCAAACGAAAGGACTTCGGCGAGATTTGAATGATAATGGTAATAAGGCAGTAAACTCAAAGCTGAAGAACCCAGTCTGGCCTGGAGACAATACTAAAAATCGGCCCAATAATAAATTGAGGATCGGGATTCCAGTGAGAAATGCTTTTACTGAATTTATCAAACGAAACTGATGTGAACGGTAGGCCTAAAATTTCAGGGTTCTCCTATGAAGTGTTTATGGCAGTATTGGGTGTTCTGAAATTTCCCCTACCGCATAAGTACATCCCCTTCGGGGAAAATGGGGCGATAGCGGGGACTTACGATGAACTTCTCTATAAAATCAAATATCAGGTTGGTGCTGATGAATACTAAAAAACAAAACTTCAGTTTTGCATTTAATATTTTCCTTTAATTATAATCATACTGTTGCAGGTATATGATGCTGTAGTGGGGGACGTAGAAATTGTAGCAAACCGGTCAACTTATGTTGATTTTACGTTGCCCTACTCAGAATCTGGCGTGTCAATGGTGGTTTTGATGAAAGATGATGAGAAGAAAGACTTCTGGATATTCTTAAAGCCATTGAGTTTGGATCTTTGGTTAACAACTGGCTTAGTCTTCATTTTAACAGGTTTGGTTATATGGGTTCTTGAGCATCGTATAAACACCGAATTCAGAGGACCTCCAGAGCATCAACTTGGCACAATATTTTGGTTCTCCTTCTCGACACTCGTCTTTGCTCACAGTAATTAACTTCCAAACTGATTACATTTCTTTCTCCTGCATAAAATTGAAAGGTTTATAATAGTTTACACTGATATATTTTGGTTCGTTTTATTGTCAATGGAGATCATTTTAGGAATTAGAATCAATTTTAGGTTATGAGAGTCCGGCAGGATGTATGATGTACAACAATTGTTTAAAAATATAATAGATCACCAAATCTATAATATTTGAACAAGTTTATGCTAATATTACCAGGGAAATTTTTCTTTATCAATAGATGTATGTAGGTTTTGTAATTTATATTTATATGTAACCGATTTTAGGTAACCAACCCACATTAAATATTGCGTCTCGTTATGTAATATAATTTATATTTATACGTAATCTCAATGTTTGATATCACTTTTAGTCGTGTGATATCTTAGAAGTTTATTAAAAATAGTGTTTTTATGTGTGGTTTCAGGAGAAAAGGTGGTGAATAATTTGTCAAAATTTGTGTTGATTACCCATCTTGACACAAAGTTACACTGCAAGTTTAGCTTCAATGTTAACAGTGAAGCAGCTGTGGCCTTCATTTGATGATGTGCAAGAGATCAAAAAACATGACTACTTTGTAGGATATCAAAATAATTCTTTTGTGAAAGATCTCTTAATAAATCAACTGAGATTTAGTGAAGACAAATTGAGACCTTATAACACCCCAGAAGAGTATAATGTAGCATTGTCTAAAAGAGAGGTGGCTGCAATTTTTGATGAAGTCCCATACATAAAGCTCTTCCTTAATAAGTACTGCTCCAATTTCATGATGATCAGACCTACCAACAGAACCGGCGGATTTGGCTTTGTAAGATTCTTTATCCATTAGTTATTACATATGACTTTATTCATGTTATAACATTCAAACATTCAATTGTGTATAAGCTTGGCCTTAATTTGTATCCTTGCTTTCTAAGATATACATACATGGTTGATTAAAAAAAATGCGAACTTCCACAATAGATTTATATAGTGAATTTCTAATGGAGACATCCTAGCGTTGTTAACATGCAGACTATAAGTCAACGACTAGTCTCTAACTTGGGGAAATACAAAAAATCAAAGTCAGGGATACAAGGTGCAAAACTCAAAACCAACGTTTAGTCGTTAGCCTTTAGTTTGTACATTTAAAATTTCAGGATGGTCGAACTTTAAATTTCTCATATATACATATATTTACAATATTTTTATGATCACTATAATTCCAATGAATTAATATGGTGATACATATCTTCTTGTTTCAGGCCTTTCAACAAGGTTCCCCACTGGTTCCTTACATGTCAAGTGCAATTTTGAAGGTGACTGAAGATAAAGATGCAATGGAAGCAATCGAGAGAAAGACTTTTGGCAGCAAACCAACTTGTGAAGAAAAAAGCGCGACAATTTCTTCAGGTAGCAGTCTCAGTGTGTACAGCTTCGGGGGGCCCTTTATAATCACAGGAGTTGCTTCCATTTCTGCACTCTTGCTACATCTCTTCAACTTCATTCGTTCACACTGGCCTGTCTTGAATGACCACCATCTTCACTCCGAACGATCCTTCCTGGCGAAGATCGTCGATTTGATAAAGCATTTTGACAAAAAGGATCTCTCTTCATACCATTTCAATAGAAGTGAATCAAGAGTATATCCTGCACAAAATCTAGAAGCCAATGTTGTAGCTTCAGTTCCTAATGATATGCAGAACCATTCAAGGACTTCTTCCCAAGGAGGAGAGAATAATGATACATCTATTGATGCACTACACACATCTTGGACGTATAATGTAGAGATTAGATATACTCCATGTAAGGTAGTAAATTATGTCGGGCACATGGTTGCAGATTATTATGTTTTATCTATTTTAAGAGCGTAAACAACATTTTCCCTCCCAAATAATATTTAATGACATTTTCTCATTCATATACATTTAAAATACGATTTTAATACCCAAATTTATGTTTCGTTTCTGATTTTGGTATCGTTACAACCCCACACCACTATCATTCTCTTTTCTGATCATCACTCACCAAAACTCATCTATCATCACTCACCAAAACTCACAAACCCTACTCCTGTCAACATTGTGAATTGCTGGTAATCAAGCGATTAGGTTTTGCGCAGCTACCCCTTTCAAGTCAAATTCCGATCAATCCCAATCACCAAAATTCAACCTTACACCACCAAAAGACTCATCGGCCTCTCTACGAAAATTTTCTTACCGCAAATGTCAGTAATTTAAAAAAAAAAAAAAAATTAGACTTTTGTTAAGTGGTGTGGTTGCGAATCAAACTTGATTTGGGGCCATGTGAGTTTGGGTTTTCTACTCACATTTGACTTCCTTGTTGCTGGTCCAATCTATTGGCCCAATTTTTGTTTTTAGCCCAAACTACACTTGTATCAACACTGGACTGTATATTGTCATCAATCTAGAAGAACCATGCGGCCTTGGAGCTTTAAGTAAGCTGAAAATTTCTTCTAGAAATTTCCAGGGTCCAAGTCTCTGAACATGAATTTGACTCATGGACTCGTAGACTTGATCCAGTAGTATGAAAATTACGCAAACTGCGGCAGAGGCAGACAATCGATGTTGACAAATGAGAGAAATCTTGGTGGCACTGGACATTAGCTGCGTGTCAGCTACAAAACAGAAATATCAATGGCTTCATGTTCAAGATTCTATTGAATGCACAAAACTGAGCGATTCATTAATTGTTGAAATGGGGTGATGGTGATCAGCGATCAAGATAATGCATTATTATTGGTTGATAAATTTGCTGAGCCTGAGTCACAATTAATTGCTCAGGATATCTTTATGGTCTTCTCTGGGCTCTGGCAAAAGTAATCACTTGGATCTCCCCAGCCACCAATAAGAAATATAATGATAATAATGGTAGAGCGGCATTTTTGGTTTCAATGTACTTGTCAGGATATGGCAACAGAACTGCATCAGATTCTTCGGCTTCATTAATTCCTTTGTACTAATTTAACAGACGGTTTCTTGCCGCAAAGCTACGGAAACATGGATTCTTAAGCAATGTATTAAAAAGAACGAGAAAAATATTATATTTCTTTATACAGATGGGATTGTCTTGCCTTTCCCTGCAAGTTCTGTATTAGCATTTTCCAAGATGCACAAAAAGGTTTGTTGAATTTAGTTTTCAATACAAACTTCTATTGCTTTTGCACAAAAAATCTTCAATACATTGTAACTAGATCCGTACACACATTAGTTTGATGAGAGATTCTCTCTTTATTTGAATGTTTAAGTTTGTAACTACGTAGATTATCCCATGCGAGATTTTCTTTTTTTTTTGGGAATCTTCCTAGGAGTTAATAATTTTTAGAAACTATCGGTCAATAAGAGTTTTAATAACCACTTTTATCAACACTCAAAATGAATCGAACTTAAGATATCTTGAATAATATACTCAAAAGTCTTAATTGATTATTTGACCGCCCAATGATTATTACTTTTTAATATTTATTTGCATCTGAATAATTTTTGTCAAATGAGAAAAAATAAACTTTTAAATTGATGCTAAGAAATCAATACCCAAATAGCCTTTACACCAATTACCCAATATGAATTCATTTGAGTATAAATTCGATGCTAAAAATAATAACAATAATAATAAATAAATAAATAAGAAAAATGTGCTAGAATCTATAAAGTATATTATAATAAAATGGAAGAGTAAACGACATATTCCCACCTAAGGTTTGACGAAATCCTAAATTGGTACCACAGGTTCCATTTATTCCAGATTCACACCCTTAAAATAACACTGTTAACATTTTTTAGGATAGTGAGAGTGCAATTACCATAATACCCTTTAACCCTAAATTAATAAATTATATTTTAACCCTTAAATTACTAAAATTATAAAATTAACCATTTTATTTTGAAATTACATCAATTACACCCTCAGTGATTGTGCACCGTCTCGTTTTTCACCGGATTTGGGCTATTTCCGATGCCAGCGAAACCCCTGGTCACCTCCATCACCTTCCCCATCATCCATCGTCCAAAACCCCTCTAGTTCCTGACTCATTGGGCCCTCCGATCGCCGGTGCCGTCAACCTTAGGTTTTCGTCGTTCTTCGTTGGATTCCGGTGACGAAAATCTAATTCGACGTCACCACTGCAACCAGCATCTCCTAATCTACAAAACCCCTATGTCCTAGCAATCGTTTAGTGGCCATTCGCCGGTGGACACCGACGAAAACCAGTCACATGTGGCGGCTGTCGTGGTTGGAGCTCGACGGGCGATGAAGGGTTGTCAAGCGTATGGTTTTGTAGAGGGGAGAATGAGGGTTCGAATGATGGTGACAAGGATGATTTTGGGTGGAAGAATCGTCGGAAAAGAGTGAAAAACAACGGCGATGATGTTGCTAACGTGCGCCGGATTTTTGTTAAGGGCGGCGATCTGCTAATGTGCGCCTCCTCTGTGAAATGACCGATTTACCCCTGAGCCATTATATCTAACCATTTCCAGTTACTTTAAAGGTGTGAATCTGGAATAAATGAAACTTGTGATACCAACTTAGGATTTCATCAAACCTTGGGTGGGAATATGTCGTTTACTCTAAAATGGAATAAATACAAGTCAAAAGAATTATCTTGACGAATTATTTCAATTAAAAGAGAAAAAACAAAAGTAGAAACACCAAAACCAAGTTTAGAATATAATTTTAGAAACATACACCCACTTTCTTTATAGTGGTGGGCCCCCGGAAGAATCAACGCGCGGACAGTTTTCAATGTACGTGCTATAAACGATATTGATCGTCATAATTACCCCTATATTTTTTTACATATTTACTAAATAACCATATGCTCTATAAGATTTGCGTCAATGTCACAAAACTTTAACAAATTTAAAAAACATTTTTTCTTGAAAGCTTAAATTTAAACTAATTGATTTGATAATTTTTTTTAATTAATAGCAACAAATTTGTGATATGATAACAAATCATTAACCTAAACATAATGGTTTATATTTAAAATTTCTTATTTAAATTAACAAATAAAAGATAAGAATTTTATCGAGAAAAAATAAGTTTATGATCATATTTGAAATTCTCGGAAGTTTTGTTAGTAATAATACAACCTTCAAGGAGATCGGTGAAATTAACCCTAAGGGTGCGTTTGGTTTAAAGAATGTTATGTTATATTAATGAAAAATTAGATTACCTTGAAACTCATTGAAAATCTATAGAAAAATATGTTTGGTTAGTATTGGAATAAGTATAAGAAGCAGGGTTGTTTTTGCAAAGATTAGAAGTTGAGTAGGGTTGTTTTTGTAAAGAAACAAAAGTTGGCACCACACGGTGCGTTTTATGAACAAATGTAACAGATTATATAAAGTCGTCTGTAACTGATCTGCTTTACCAATTTTTCAATAACAGAACACTTGAAATAGATTTTTCTCTTTTCTCTCTTAATTCGTTCACTTCTTTAATTTTCTTTTCAATTCCGCTATTAATCCTTCATGGTTTCAGAGCTGTAGACAAGCGTAAATGGCTTCAAATCCTGAGTTCGTCAATGTTCCGTCAAAATCTAAAGTTGAATCAGCTGAAAATGCAAACACAAATAACTCAGCTGCTCACTCCACGCTTCCGACCATATCAGTAAAACTCATGGAGAAGAATTATAGTCACTGGCGATCATAAGTTTTTCCAGCCTTAGCCTCTCATGGTCTTGAAAGCTTTATCACCGGTGAGAGCATCTGCCCTTCTATGTTTCTTTTTGAAAAACTTGTTGATTCTAATGAATTAGTGAAGAAACAAAACCCTAAGTATCTTAATTGGAAAAGAACAGATCAATTTTTAATTAGTTGGCTGTTTTCTTCAATTTCTGAATCTATGTTCAGACATGTAGCCAAATGTGTTAGTGTGTTTGAAATATGGAACACGCTAGAATTGCATTTTCAATCAATTTCGAAGGCTAGAACACTTCACTTAAGGTTCACTTAAGGAATATGGTACAGACCACAAAGAAGGACTCTTTAAGTATTAATGAGTGTGTCCTGAAAATGAAGGAATTAGGGGATGAGTTAGTGGCAAGTGGTGTTAACATTGGAGAAGAAGAGTTGCTTTTGTATATACTGGATGGTCTAGGACCAGAGTACGATGCGGTTGTGGTGAATTTGACATATCACAGTAGTAATGCAACCATTCAACAAGCTCAATTCATGTTTCACAAACATGAAATGAGACTGGAGAGACAACACTCGGCTCTGTCAAACTTTCATGAGCATTTAAATTCTGCTCTGTTTGCTTCCAAGCAAGAAAACACCACCAACTGCTCTAATCCTCTGACTAATTCATCTGGTCAAAGAATGGTTGTACCATTTCATCCTCAGGCTATTGGTCATGAGTATTCACACAGCCCCAATGTTAATATTACAACCTCTGGTCCAACCCCTGGTTCAGGATATCCTACAGCAAGTAATTTTGATTTTGGATAGAACAGTTATCAAGGAACAAATTATGGAAGAACTGGTTACTCACCCAACACATATCACTCTGCTGGACACTTTCAGTTTCAAAACAACATGATGAGAGGCAGGGGCAAAGGCTGAAGTTACTTTAAGCCAAGATTAGAATGCCAAGTATGTGGCAAAACAGGCCATTCTGCCATCCAGTGTTACCACCAATTTGATCAGGAGTATCAAGGCTTTACTGCCAATTCTTACAGCTCCCAGATGTAGCCTACTCTGTACAATTCAACAGGTCCCTCTCCAACTGTCATTACTGAGCATTCTATTGAACCTACACAAGCCTTAATTGCAGCAAACTACACACAACATCCAAACTACACACAACCCCCAAACTACACACAACACTCTACCAATACCTTCCACAATAATTT